CTGAATACAGACCTTTTTGAAGCCCCTGGAAAGTATCTGCAGGTGAATATTCAGGGTCAGTGTACACTAATATTTTAATATTTGCACCATCCCGACTTCATAAACTGCTACTTAAATATCAGCTTTGAAGTTTTAAAACACTGTCACTTTTGTTAGAGAATGTTCTAAAACAGCTTTATGAAGGGGCTTTTTTTGTTTATGCTAAAAAAAATAATCTATTTTCTTCATATTTCTCTCTTGTGGTTTATAGTTACAACTACTCCATCACCTAATGAGTCCAAGAAAAAAACCCAACAAACCTCAGCAGAAAAGGAAAAAACCCATCAAGCAATTATTTCAGTCAGAAATAGAACCTACTGTGGAATTGCTGTAAAATAAAAGACATCTTACAATGTGCTGAAACTGACCACTAGTTGAAACTTATATAGTATTTCATACCTTGGGCAGAAAATAATCTTGAGATAAGAGGTTTCGTATGAGAATTCAGCTCAATTCAGCAGTTTTTGATATTTTTTTTGCTATTAAAATAATATACTAAAGTAATTTATTTTTGTTTAAAATAAGAAAAATGTATCACTGTAAAACAATACTCTTCCATAACAGCATGTATAAAAGTCTGTGTTTTAGCTATTTGATTGCTTTTGTAAAGTTAATTTCAAACCAATGCACCGGTAGTGTATTGCACTAGACAGATGCTTACCACCTTTATATATCGCTGTAACTGGGAATACCGATGGCATACACCAAGTTCAGAGCATACATAAGTTAGCTGTCTTTTTAAAAGTAACTGTTTTAAAACAGGTACTTCTTCAATGAAGCAGGCCATAATTCTAATTACATATAGTATTCCTGCATTCAGCGGAGTAATGCTTATCTCTGTGATGCTAGTGTTCATAGAATTTAGATCCAGAAATACTTGCAAAATAATTTCCAACCTGAGTCAGAATTATTGTATTGACCAAATAATTTTTACAACATTTAAGTTGGTAATTTTATTCTAGACTATAAATTATTATATCTTCTGCATTACTCTGTTCTGTCTTACATGGTATAGACTTTGAACTGAATGGTTATTTTTCCGAGCAACCAAACAGTAAATAAATGTGATATACTAGTACATCATCCCACCACTATGCATATGGTGCACATTAAGGTTGTATTCATTTACCATATGAATAGAATTCCTTTTACCACATCAACTATTAGTTACAAGTTGTAAATATAGCATTGTTTTTCCTGGAACTCAAAGGTCTGCATTACATCATGAAGCACTAAATATCCTTATCCTTCCAGAGAATTTCATGCATGTAGTTTTAGTGACACCTGAAGCTGGATACCGTCAAAAAAGCAGCATCCAAACTCTTTCTCTGTTTCCAGTCTTGAAATACACACTGCCTTCACTTGCGTCTGGATTGTGCCTCAAAACTTGCTCTCCAGTGTTACCTGCAATTACGTACTCTGATTGACAAATCCTGAAACACAAGCTCTCTTAGCCAGTTGAAAACAAGCATGATACAGATGCTGCGCTTAACACTGTAGGACGTACTTTTAGCCAAAACAAATATTTGTAGCACACAAACTTGCATGCTCATCAGTACCAAATCACTATGACTAAATGCTTTCTGAGCCACCAGTGAATGCTATTGCAAGGTCTTTTCAATGAAGGCCTTGTCCTCATATCTATCTATGACATGACTTTCTTGGCATTATATAAATACAAAATTATATTGCTTATGCAGCTCATTGCAGATTTCCAGATATACCAGAATTCATCCACCTGTTATACCTCATCTTTTTTCAGTTTAAATATTTGGAGGCTAGAACCATCATTTATATGTGATTTATAGAGTACTTGGAGGAATGAGGCCTCAACCTCTTTGAGGTATCAATGTGTTACAGTTTAAAAAAGAAACGACAGTGACCTTTTGTAGCTATATAATTTAAGGCTCTGTTCTAGATTCATGCAGATAGTCCCAGTACCTGCTGCACTGGCTACAGCGGTGCCCTGTGAAGATACAGGGACCTGTAGAACCAATTACAGCATCAGGGCCTCTGTCCATTAAGCTTTCATGAGGCTTTCAAGATTAACATCAAATAATGCTATAAATGTTAGGTAGAAGAATATTAAGCAGTTGCTACCCTTTTCAAAACATGTTACGGATACTTTTCTAAGCCTTGTGGGTCTTCTCTATGAAATAAATTTTACTGAATTTGACTTACAACAGGAATAGAAAAATTTAATATTGCACTTGCTAAAGCTCTAGTAAAAAAGAAAAAAGTATTCAATTTCTTTTTACAGTCACACTTAACAAAACACTCCTGACCTATTTCTATTTCAGTTCATACGTTAACCTTAAATTCACATTGTATTTTCTCATTATAAGAAAAAGGATAAAAATTATACTACAAATGAAATCAATTCTTTTTGGCACCAAATATGTGGGAAAAAAAATATTTTAAATATTTTACTAGGCAGTGCTTTGGAGAGTCAGTCCCAAGATCAGCTTTCAACTCAATGCCAGCAGATGGTGCTAAAGGATTCTTGCTTTATATACAATATTGTGCTACTCTGTCCAGCCATTTTTGAGAAACAAAGAATATTTGTTATGTCTGCAGTTAAACAGTGTTAAAATAATATTGAATTATTTACTGGGGTTTTTTGAAGAAGGACTCACACAATAATATAATGTGTGTAGGGGTAAAAAATAAATGTGCTATTGAACACCGAAAGGAGCATATGCAGACTGTTTTTAAACTCTCAGTGCTGTACTATCATAGAGCAACACTCTTTTAACAGACTGACTACAGTGAACGGCATTTGTAGACTTAATAGCTGCAGCAATTCCAAACATATTTTACTATTTGGAGGTTCTGCAAATTTTTAGCTATTATGCTAGACCACCAGTTGACAGAAATTAACAATAATAGCAGAATTTCCATTACTAACTAACATGATTACTGATTTATAGACATTTTGATACCGCTACTACCTAGCATGATAAATGCAAAAAGGAACACTGACAGATAAGATTTTTACAACTATTTCCCGATTAGTTTTTTTAAGAAAAGAAGCTGTTACGTAAATTACTTCCAAAAATTTTTACTTTTTTTTTTAGGAAATAATCATTAAAATTCTAAATGAATATTTATGCTATAAACATTCTTTAGAAATGTGGAACCTTATCTTCTCTATTATCTATGGTTTTGAAACTGAAAATAAAAGTCCAGATCATGCAGAAACTTGGGAACCAAGATGTAGGTTAATTCAAGATGAGGATAAGGATGGGGGAGGAAGGCAAAGAGGGTTTTTTGCTACTAAGTTAACAGCAGACATACGACCTGCCTGAAATCAGTGTGACTATTCACTGTGTACAGAGGCAAGCACGTATACAAATATTCATAGAATTCAGGTTTACAGGATTAGTGTGTCTGAGTACAAAGAAATTATTGCCTATGGCATTACTCTTCAATCAAACAACACAAAGATGCTCACCAGGTCATATTTTTGAAGTTTAAATCACCTGCATTATCCTCTTAATTAATTAATTCATTATCAAGCACTCACTTATAAAAAGTTTAAATTTTCGAACTGAAAAATGTGTGTAGCAGCTGATGAGATACAGATGTTTTATCTTTTGCTATGATTACTAATACAATTGAAACTAATGATTTCTCTAGTCTCAAGACCATAGCTTTAATTTAATAATAATGTTAATTGATAAAAAGTCTTTCAGGTATTCAAATACTTATTTAGGAATTGTAGCTATAAAAAACCCAAACAAAATACAGCTTATTTTAAAAGTAGCTTGGATAGTAGCTAGACTGTTCTTCAGCAAGACAGGAAACTGGTGATTAAATTTTTAATCCTTTGGGAGATTTCATATTTTATAAATTGAAAAGATTATGTATTTTAAAAATTTGTATCTGAGGAAGATATTCTGCATGTTAGCAATAGTAAAATTGTTCAACGAATCCTCTCAATTACATCTCACAAATCCAGTAATTGTTTTTAAGTATGAAATCACGTGCTTACATTCACACATGTGCCCTGCTACACAGCTACACTACTAAAAGCATTTAATTTCTCTAACACACTTTAGAAAACCTGAATATAGTACCCTCTAAAAAATATAAAACTGTGCAATGAAAGCACCCCCATAATCCTCGTGATGCAAATGTGATACATACAGAGAGTAACATTTTCTAGTTTTATGGGCTAACATAAAAGAGGTAATATAATTTGTTTTATTCACATATGTGTGGAAGATCAATGCAATAACTCAGAAGAGAACACATTAGTATTAGTAGTAGTAATACAGTTATACCCAGGCTCTACATTTCATTAGTACTGGATACTTTTCTCAGTTAAGCCTTAATTTCATTAAGAAAATCAAATTTCTAAATTAGGTATCTTTTTGTTTTCCAAAATATGAAAACTAAAAAATAATTATGAACAAATCTGTAGATATTTTGAAAGCAATAGAACAGTCTCTTCATATTCTATGGATATAGTACTAGATAGCAGAAAAGCACTTTATCTTCACCTCGACTATGGAAATGCGTAGCATTTTGTAAGCACAAACCATTTTATAAGCATAAACAATATTAAGACAATTAAATTCACCACTGTAAACCTCCCCTCCAAGAAAGTATATCCAAACAAAATAAATAATGAAAAACAAAAACTTTGAAGACATAGATTGACATTCACTAATCTGATTGGCCTCTACCTGGTAGGTATAGGTGAGGGATCATTAAGAAGGAAGATTGGAGAAAATGGGATATTCCAACTACAAAGATGTTTGTTGGTAAAGGAATACAAGTATGTGTGTAGCAAGCAATTTGGTGACAATTTTTAATATATAAGCAACAGCTAGAGATGACCTTCTAGATATGATTATAACCAATATAGCAAAACAGATCAAAAACATGGTGGTGAAAGGAACTTGCATGAAAATGGTAAAGATATGAGAGCGTTCAATATGCTTTATAAGGGCAAGAACAAGGACAACAGGGTAATTTTCTGAAATATTTTGGGAAGACAGGTTTCAATAGATACAGCACATTGTTCTGTAAGATCTCACGGGAAGTTAAGTCTACAGAAAAACAAAGGAAAATGTAATAAGGATACTAGCGAAAACTGCTCCGATGCAGCAGAAGGATAAGACAGACAAGAAAATACCAGCTGGCACAAGTGAAAATTGTCCAGTGACTGTAAACACAGGAAAGTCAGGCAGAAAGACCAAAATAAGTGAGATTTTTCTGAACCAGTGTAAGAGAGAAGGTATGAGCAAGCAGGGACAAAACCAGGATAGCCAAGCATAGATGAGATGCAACTAACAATGACATGAAGAATAACAGTCATTCTGTAAACACAAAAATATGTTACGTTTTCATCAGAAATTGGTCTGTTGTTAAGAGCAAGCAATACCAATAGATGATGCCATGCATTTGAAAGTATTTCAGTAAAAGTCTTCAATAAAAAGGCCAACTGCAGTCAGGCAACAAACATAAGTAAAAGCAGCAATGAGAACTGTTGTCTCAATTAGAGAATATCTAAATGAGGTAAATGTTTGGAACTCAATTGGCCTGATAATACTGATTTGAGGATACTGTGAAAATGAAACTAAATAATGCCAGAGTTGTAACTGTTGTTTTATGGATATTGGATAGTTCTGCAAGACTAAAAAAAGTCTTGTGTTGTTTAAGAAGCAGGAAAAGGAAAACTGAGTAGTCTGCTTAATCCCAACAAACAGAAAAAACACTGGCAGAACATTTATATTTTTTATATGTATACACACACACACACACAATTTCCTAGAAGAAAACAAGGAGATGAGTAACAGCTGATTTGCATTTGTTATGAACAAATCATGTCAAAGCAATTTTTTTCTTGCAATGGCAGAGTAACAGGACTTGTGTTCAGGGAGACATCATATATTTTGACTTTGGTAAGGACTCTGGCACTGTTTCACATGGGCAATTTCTTAAGGAAAATAAGGAAGCACATGTTTAGAAGATGCTACTATACATCAGATGAAAAGCCAGCTGGAAAGCTATGCTCAGAAAGCTATTC